CTTACGGGGAAATTTCCTCAAAAGGAGTTGTGAATTCTTTTTGTATTTAAAATCATACTGTAAAAAAGATTATTAAATTTAGTTTTAAGCTTATTTATGAAGAAGTCAACGAAATAAAGTAACTCAAGACTTAAGCTTAATTTGCATTTGTAAACAAAAAACTTTTTCCCTGGTTTTGTCGATAAATTCAAGTCAAAAAGACAAAGCTTTACCTGTTAAAACTTCCACCCCGAACTTCGTCACCTTTTTCGTGTATTTCGGGAACAGCTTGCTTGATTAGTTGTGAAATTTCTTTGTTTGTTACGGCAGCAAACCGGGAAGGCAGTTTGCTCGAAACTTACGCGAGTTTGGCGTCGCTCGCTCGGAGGAACTGGAGGTGGATCAGTGATTAGTGCAGGATATTCACTGATTGAGTAGCCAATCAGAGCGCGCGAAAAACACTATCCACTGTTTTAGTATATACTAAACAAGTATAATTATGGTACTATTCACAACTTTCTACAGTGAAGAGCTGTGAATGGTACCAAAAACTTGTAGTGCAAAACAACAACTTTGCACGTGCATAACGCTTTTTTGTACATTTCTTTGCTGTCTTTGCTCGATCACGACGTGAAATTGTCTAATTTTACGTTTTCTAGAGGAAGTCATCAAACAACCATTTTCTGATGTTTTTTTAAACGTAGATACAGTCACTCAGAATTCAACTCCGAAAAAATTCAACATTTAACAAATTGAATGACATGGAATAAGAAAAATGAATTTTGAAACAGCGTAAATTCACTTTTTAAGAGAAGTTTTCGCTACCGTCCTCGTCGTCACATTACTCAGTATGGAGTAAATATTACATCAATGAATTATTTATTCTGTCTTTGAATTTTTTGTTCTAAGGAGTGAATATTGATCTCATTACAGAACTTGGAGTGAAAGTATAGTGAATGATGCATGTCAGCTGTTAGCTGAAGATCTGCCTCTCGCATCTGGAACCTCAGGAGGACAAATAGAATATAGGAGATCACTTGCTTCAAGTTTCTTTTTCAAGTTCTATCTGAATGTTTCTTTACAGCTTAGCAATCAAGAGGTGAGATGTCACAATCTTAATTTCTTGTTGGATAAATTTCCCATAAAAGCTGTATTGCATTATTGAGAAGTGAAGGCTGAATCTCATACTTAATAGAGGCTGTGGAAGTCATCTCTTCCTTATGAACGAGCACCACTGTAAGATGGGCATCTCCCTAAAACCAGGTACCCAGAGTTGAGGCTGGTATCAAGGGTTCTCTCTCAGAGAGAGATGAATCAGTGTTTAGTTGTGGGCTGGGTTGACACAGTCTTAGAAGGGACTAGAAACAGGATTAGGGAAAAAAATTCCTCTTGTTTAGTTGTATTAATGACTGCAAAATTCAGCTGAACACGGTGTAGGAGGTGCAAAGAGACAGACAAAAAAAAAATTCAGTAAAACAACAACTGTGCCCGCTCTTTTCTACATTTCGTAGCTGTCTTTGCACGACTGCGACGTGAAACTTCTTAAGGCCTAGGCCAAACGTCGAAGTTTCATGAGGCGAACTAAACTCTAATTTGGGTTGACCTAAATTAAGTTAAGATCGTCGGTTGTAGTCCGGCAGCTTAGCTAGAGAATGATGCGATTTTTGATACAAGCACCAAACTTTGTAGGAATAGTTACATTCTCAGTCTAGTGATTTCCTGATATAGTGCCAAGTTTCGTTTTCTAATTTCAGCTTGTTAGTAGCAAATGAAATTTTCAGACCGAGAGCCCCCCGTGACGTACTTTTTCTTACTCTTTTTTTAGCTTCAATGCATGTTTTATTTCAAAGCACAGGTTTAACAATTATACAGATGTTTAAATTTCGATGCGAATTTTTATTTCCCTTTATTATACATTTGTGTAAATGCAGGCCGTAATTAGGAATTTATCTGCACATGCTTGTCCTCGCTTTTCTCTTTTTTTGGAATCATAAGAATTTGCGCTATCTCATTCTAAAATGTGCATGCAACTCGGTGCAGCTAGAAGAAAAATCTATTCTAGTCATACAAAAGAGAAAACTGTACGTTTAAAAGGAGAAAGTAAGAAGGGGATTAATTTGAAGACATACGAAAGAGGTCGCTACCCCTTTTTTTATAGGCTCCTGTGACTGGTTTGTGTTATTCGCCAGACCCTGGGGCCCGTTTCTCGAACGTCCCGGTAACTTTTCGGGCCCGAAATCAAATATTCAAAACAAAATATAAAAAATAAGAGCACGGGTCCTAGCTAGCGAACTACTCCATTTTGTTTCATTAACTGATAGTTTTATCCTGTTAGATGCAAAACTATTGAAACCTCGATCTTTAATGTAAACGGGAGCAGCTTACCGGGCCCGTTAATTATCGGGACTCTCGAGAAACGGGCCCCAGGTTGTTCAAAAGCTGGATAGTGCTATCCACCGAATAAATTACTATCCAAGAGATAAGTATTAGGGAAACTAATTACAGTATCCGTTGGATAGTGATTTATCCACTGGATAGCGCTATCCACCTTTTGAACAACTGGGGCCAGAAGGAGACAACTGAAAATATTGGATTTGGGGGTTATTAAAAATTAAAATATGAAGTGAATAATTAGTAGACAATTACCAGATAGTCCACCACCACAACAAGGTGCCTCTGATCCCATTAGCGGACTAACTGGTTTTTGTGTGTACCTTTTCTACCCTAATTTATTTCCTTCCCAAATCAACATCATTTCCCCCCAAAACCAACCGTAATGCCCCCTAAACCGGAAACGGCACGACTCTGGTGCTGGATACCCTACTTTTCAGTAAGACTTAGCATCATTTCATGAGGCGGGAGAATTAAATTTAGCAGCTGACTGGAAACATTTTGACGTGGGAAATGGAATTGCTTCCACATTGGTAAGTCGTTTGGTATGTGACATAGATCTTGTCGCGATGTGTCCAACAGGATGAAACTGGATCCCACGATAAAAGAGCCTGTGAAAAAAATCCACAGCAGCAAACGGACACGCTCAAGTATGTTTTGCAATTCTGTTCGCATGGAATAGAAGCGGACATGAAAATGATAGTTCATGTAGCTGATGTAGTAGAAAATGGTCACTAGTCAGTCATGATTCGAACTTTCGCGCTTTCTTTCTCGCTCGTTTTCCCCACGATGTTTTAGTCTAGAACAGGCTTATTTAGACTTGAAGGAATTTTGGGTGCCCTACAGGTCAGAAAAAACCCCACAACATCACACCCGCCCTCTTTGCAAAGGCCCTTGGCCCAGGTAACTCGAAGTGTCTTCCTATCTTCCATGCCCTAACCGAGTGTGTGATACAACTTCCTCCTCCGCTAGTCATGGAGTTTCTAAAATACTGGAATAATTGCCAATTTTTTCTCATTGAAAGGAAGCATTGTTGTAATTAAAATCACAAAATAAAAAGATGAGGGTCACCGCACTTTTTTTTGCAGTAGAGCTGCAGAGAGTGCACACCACCTGCATTCCTTGCGATTTTTTAGAGAGAACTTGGGTGGGTTTCAAAACGACATGAACGTGGAAGGAAGCATTGGAAAATACGATTTTATGGAATTTACATCGAGATTAAGCAATATGGAGTAGGACATAATTTGATAGAGGCGAAGCTTGAATGTCATTTAAAGTGGTTCAGCGCACAACATCCTCTATCGAAGGCCTCGTTGAGGAAGTGTAACTGACAGCAACACACGTACCGTTTACATTATGAACAGTGTCTACACTTTGAGACTCTTCTCGGCCAGAAACACTGCTATAGAAGCAGAAGCTCTCTTTCACCGCGGCTATCTTGTTATGCGCAGGGAGAGGTAGGGTCTGGCTGGCCACAGTGGAAGCCCCTGTGCAGTGCAAAACTAGAGAATCACCTTAAGTTTATTCCGTAACGAACAATGTGCAATCAACTTGGTGACGAAGCTATTTGCAAGGAGCTTAGTTGTATTTCACATAATAATCAAACCATTAATTTTATACAGTTATTGCAGTTTTAGCTTTCCGTCGCTTACCGTTGCCACGCAGAGTTAACGTTAAATGGCGCGCTTTATGTGGTTATCAGGTTGCTATCACTGAAATGATACTATGTCTTCATAAACTAGGAAAAATGAATTTTATTAAATTTTCATGAATTTAATTAACTATGGTTTGTATAGAAATAGACGAAATTCCGGCTTGGCACTATATCTGAAAATCCTTGTATTGGTGACTACTATCAGTGTGCCAAATTTCATGCTTGTACCTGAAATTTCGAGCTATGCCGTCAGACTATTGGGTCATACGTCGAACTTACGACGCGTCGAAACAATCAGCTGAATAAGATCAGTAATAAATTTTTTCCCGAACGAGGCTAAATATATTTTAATTTATTAGTATATTTCGTCGCATGAGAAGTAAGATCGACGTTTTCCCGGAGACGATCTTCAGACGTTTTATCCGTCTGAAGCAGACGGATAGAACGTGTTGGACGATCCAAACTCGTTCAGACGAAATTAACTGAGCCAGACGTCGAACTTTTCATTAGCTTAACTCACCAAGTTTGGTTTGTCTCATGAAAAGTTCGACGTTTGACCTAGGCCTAATATCACGGTTTATGGGGGATACGTGAACACAAGTTAACCAACTGCCTCGCTTAAGTGGAAGGTGGGATACCCAGATAGAATACCGCCCCCATGGCTGACAAATCCCCGAAACCCAGCCACGAGCCCCCATTCCAGGCACCCGTCACACTGATGAAACAGTGGAAGGAAGAAAAATAAAATAAGGGAGGGGGACAAGACGCTAAATGAACCGCTCCACAGACCAGTGCACAAGCGCTCAATGAAGAACTCACAGATCGTAGCAGTGTACAAAGCTACCACGTACCATGTGAGCCTGCACTTATGGGATTGACCGCTGGATGCCCGCTAAGCTCGTGGACCGCTTGACCGCTAAGCCTTGTGGACTGCTTGACCGCTAAGCTTGTGAACCGCTTGACCGCTAAGCTCGTGGACCACTTGACCACTAAGCTCGTTGTTGTTAACTTAGTGAAATTACATTTTCTCTTTCTTTTCCTAAACATAGCTGATGTAGACCTTAAAGTTCAACTCCAGATATACCAACATTTGTCAAATTGAACGAGATGAAATGAGAACGGTGAAATCTAAAACACGCGCGGGGGGCAAGGGGGGGTGTATAGGCTTGGGAGGGATTTAGAAATCACCTCATTTACAAGCGAGACAAAGTAGCCTCCCACCCCACTCATGATCTGGTTTTAACATAGTCTATAACAGACAACAGCAAGGTTTACTGTTAACAATAAATCAATGTGTTTCCTGTATAGGCGGCTAATAATGTTGAAATTCCTGAGTCGTTTGTAAGTGGAACCAGTGGTTTTCAGAGGGAAGTTACATACAGCACACAGACTTTTCAGGTAATGACCACAATATCACAATTTCAGCCAATGTATTCCCTATGCAGTTCGCATACATTGCCCACGGTACTGAAGAGGAGCATTTGTTACACTTTCAAGACCTTTTTTACTCTTGCTGATCATTTCCTCTTTTCTTGGTACCTTTGGTCAAGTCTCTGTTTTTTCATAACCACAGGAAGTTCCTGCTGATCAGTTGTTGGAAGATGTGGTGGGCAGACCAATGCCTCACTTAGCAGCAGTTAAACAGGCTACAGGAGAGGCTGTGTATTGCGATGATATGCCCAAGTATGCAGGTAAGTCTTGGTAGAAAAAAATCGTGGGAAAGTTACAGTGTGAGCTTCTACTAGCGTAGTGCCCATCGCTCTGTGGGCGGCTGTCTTATTTTGCTAGCCTGCTCCTGAAGCGTTCAGATACAGTAGTGGGGACAGCGCAAAGAAAAGTACGGGGAACAATCACAGTGTTACAAAACAAACGGTTTGACTGTTCCATTGTTATTCTTTCTTTTCAGGAGAGCTTTATCTAGCTGTTGTCTTCAGCAAACGTGCCCATGCAAACATCCTGTAAGCATGTTTATTTCAGTCTGTAACACATCATTCTGGCACCAGTTGTTCAAAGGGTGGATAACGCTATCCACAAATCTCTTTCCATTGGATAACGTAATTGTTTCTTATGATACTTATGCACTGGATAGTGATTTATCCATTGGATAGCACTACCCAACGTTTGAATGACCTCTGAACTCTTTACACGAAGATACCTTACGATTTTAACATCAGGAAGATGTCAAGTTAGCGGCCGCGGCAAAACGAGAGACGAAGGGTTTTCATCTGCGATTCGCGCCAAAAATGAGGAGTGGCGTGACTCGCAACTGGTTTCTCATAATACTCATGCGCGTCCTATTATGTTAACATGACTGTGAAAATGGATATGGTTTTTTAAATCTTAATTGCATTAAGGTTTATTCCAATTCGCTTAAAATGTCGAACGTAGGTAAATTTCCCTGGAATTGAATTCCTAAGGATCGCACCCGTGTTAAGGAAGAAACAGAAAAAAATCAAAGGCTCCTAAAGACTGGTTTCCATGATCGCTACGATCGCTGTGATCACAGCGATCATAGCGATCATATGGAAACCACTTTCCAGCGATCGCAGCGACAACGATCGCTGAGATAGAACTTTTTCTATCTCAGCGATCGTTGTCAATGCGATTGCTACGATCGCTGGAAAAGGGTATCCCCAAAGAATCTGGCACCTTTCAGGACACTGCCGCAACCTTTTTCAACAGTCTTCCAACCCATATAAGAAATATTAAGGACTATGGACTCTTTTGCAAATCAATAATGCCATTGTTATAATGCCCAGGATTCGAATCTTTTGTCGACACATAGACATTTTTATTTTAATGGCACAAACCTAAATATATTAGATAAGGTTTTTATTTTTTTATTCTTTATTGTTTTAATTTTTTATTGCATTTGTAAATCACTAGAATATTAGTTTGGATAACTTTTAGTGTGCAGTCGAAGAGCCACTTTGTGGATTCTGTATTAAAGTCATCATTATTGTTGTTATTATTATTATTATTATTATTATTATTCAGGCGTTTATGGCTAAATTAAACTGGTTTAGAACGCGCTTTTGCTTAACACTAGCTAAAAATTATTTTAATAAACGGACTGAGCAAAAAGCTGTACGTGCTCTTACTTTGCTAAGTAATTTAACGCAGTCGGAGTATCCGATTGTCCTTCTGGTGAATATAGGCCCTTGCAGCTAGCCATTCACGTGGTTCAAAACCGCCGTGCTGGAGAGCAAATGTCGCACGGGGACAAGACAAACAAAAGACATACATAATTTGATCAATAATTTCTTTGTTTGTCTTGTCCCAGTGCGACTTTTGCTCTCCAGCACGGCGGTTTTGTACCACGTGAATGGCTAGCTGCAAAGGGCCTATTCTAGAAACTTGTTTATACCAGTGCAGCATTCCTGTAGAAATGACATTAATAGCACTTATATATGAATTCCCCGACAAACAAAAGCCTACTGGGCAAAGAACACTTAATTACAGAATTCAAGCAAAATAGCGTAACGCTGGTTGGTTCTAAAACAATTTGCTTACTCATGTCACTCAGTTTCAAACAATTCCAAACGACTGATAGTGCACTTTTTGTAAAATAAGTAGTCTCAGATAAGGCCGAGCTTTATTTAAAGCCCTCGTTTTAAACAATTTATTGGCCACTGTCAACAACAACTCAACTTACTTATGAGCATACAAAGTTTCTGGTCAAAGAAGAAAATCTACCTTTCCCAGACGAAGGGCATGGAGTTTTTAAGAAGTTCAATGTGTTTGCTTTTTGCAGGAGTGTAGACCCAAGTGAGGCATTGCATATGCCTGGAGTGAGAACATACATAGGTGCTGATGATGTGCCAGGTAGCAATAGAGCAGGAGCCGTGGTTTGTGATGAAGAGCTCTTTGCCACAGAAAAGGTGATCTTGCTTAATAAGTGCTTTTATTATATGGCTGAGTCTTGCTATATGGACCAAAATTTACATAGAAAACGCTAATTTCGGAGCTCTAAATCTCTTTACCTCGGAACAAAGGTTTAAATAAAGTTATAAGACGTCTGTCAACCTTGAGGACTTGGATGTTGACTTGTCCTTCAACATTTTAAACTGTGTTTATTTGTGAACGAAGGCGATGAAAAAACTAACTCGTAAACTTATCGAAGAGGATTCTAGTCAGTGTTTGAAAATTTTGTCTTAGTACACAGTTAAGAAGATGTGAATCGACTGACAGAAATTCGAGATGTTTTGCCTAAGAGAAAATGAGTAATTCCTTTGACAAATATGATAACAAACATACCTGCGCCCGATGATCTTGACAAGCTTCTTTGCCATTTGCAGTGTTTTTTCAAAGACCAACGAAAGAAAGATAGACGCGACTTCGAGCCAGACACGCGTCTTATTTTTCCTTGTACAAATGGCCGTATTGTCCAGTTTTCAAAAGACTCCAGCGTTACATTGGCAGTGAATACTTACAGTGCTCTTAGCTTTGGCCAAATAAACTTTAAAATATGTCTGTAAACCCTGAGGGCTGCAATGTTGACTTTGCTTTTCCAAATTTTAACCTACCTTTGTTTTAATGAGAACGAAGCTGATGTAGAGACTGAATCGTAACCTCACCGACAAAGAGAATTCTAGTCAGTGTTTGAAAATTTTAACTCATCACAATTGAAGAGGAGAATGAACTGGCAGAAATTCGAGAGGTTTTCCACAAAAAGGTAACGAGCGAATCCTTGGACAATGACAACAAACTTACCTTGAAAAGCTTCTTTGCCTTTTGCGGTGTTTTGTGTTTTTACAAGGACCAATGGAGAAAGGTTGGAAACGACTTGGAGACAGACACAGTGTCTGGTTTCCAAAATACTCCACAGTTAAAAAGAGCTAATTTTTCGAGTGCTCTTAGTTTTGACCGAATAAACTTTTTCACATGGCGAATTTGTTTCCACTTTCTCGAAAACCCTTTGTTATGTGCTATTGTTTTCGTGGGCTAATAAAAACTTTCTTTTTTTGACGCCTGTCAAATGACTGTCAAATCGCGCGTCCTGCACTTGTTTCCTGTCCCCCAAACTGGAAGAAGCCATACAATAAACATCTTATTAACCCTGTTTTTTCGGTCCGTACTGTAAATTACGGATCCGAGTTTTTTTCCATCGATTTATGATCCAAGAAAACTCGGTCTGTAATTTACGGTACGGACCGAGAAGTCGGCTAATAAGAGGATCTATAGCCCTTGAAAAGGGTGAAAAGGAATGCGATATCACGTAAAATATTCTGGTACAAGGTTTTTGTCCACGGAAAATTAAAATTACTCAATTTCCTGTTGGATTCCGTCTTAACGTTCAACAGGTATATTAAATAAATATTACTGCAACTAAAGCGAAAAAGTTCCTTTCAAGAGTTAAAAAAAATCGCTCATTAATTTCAAGCTTTTAGGTCCATTACGGCGCCTTTCCCAAGCGATAAACGTTCTCACGTGATCGTCTACATTGCAATAAACACGCAATTCGCCATTCGCACATCTCCCATAATACACGTTGCCCCTCCCCCCCCCCACCCCCGACCAAAAAAAAATTGGCATGTCCTTTCTCCTAGTATTACACTAATCCCAAAAAGAAATTGAAGGCAATGTTTATGCAAAATTTGGGGGCCAAATAGGGTGTATTGTGGGAGATGTACAAGTGGCGAATGTGTGTTATAAAAAGTCAAGTACCGTTGAAATAAGTACTGTTATAAAGCTAACCTTTTAATTATCCTTAAGGAGCCGTATTGGCTTACTGTAAACAGTCTGTCTTGATTTGTACCATCTGTATGATCAGGTGACCTGTGTAGGACAAGTGATTGGTGCTGTTGTAGCTGAGACTCAGGCCCAGGCTCAAAGAGCAGCAAAGATGGTCAAGATATCGTACGAGGAGCTACCAAGAATATTAACCATAGAGGTAATAACTTTATTGATATCACAAGTCTTTCCAGCAAGTTTTACGTTCAATTTTGGCCTGGGCTGCCAGCTTTAAATGCTTGCATTAGCTCTGTTCCGAAGATGCTAACACCTTTTCGTTAAGCCCCGGGCAAACTAGCCTGATTCTCAGACGTCCGAGGTCGTTCGCGGTCCCTTCGCTTCTCTCCAAAGGGAGGCGAAAGGACCGCGAACGAAGTCGAACGTCTGAGAATCAGGCTACGGGCAAACGGACGCAATATTGTTGGATGTTGCATGTTGCGTCCGTTTGCACACCCTGTTGCATGATGTTGTTACGTGTTGTTGGGATTTGATGCATTCGTTTGCACTCCACTGCAACACGGACACAGCCACACGCAACATTGTTGGCGCAACAATTTTGGGAATTGTTGCGTCCGTTTGCACGTAGCTTTAGCGATACAGGATCCTTTCCTTAGAATTACGAAATTTTGCAGGAAAAATTACTCCCCCATCCAAGAAAAAAAAATAGAAGATAAACTAAAAACAACCTCCTTTGGTCCAATTCGACGCAACACCGACAAGCTTGGCCAATGAAGGATTTGTTGTGGGAAATCCCGAGCAGGCGGGCAAGGTAGGCCTATCTTGTCCGCCTGCTCGGGAGCTGATCAGAGCGCAGGTTTCGCTTCATCTTGCCCGCTTCTGGAAACAGCCATTTGATAAGTGCTATTATTAAAAACTGAATCATTGGATAATGCAATTCTAGAGCTCTGATTGGCTTAGCCATCATGGTATGTGAGCCATACCATGTTCTCGAAATAGGGTAACTGTACGCGTCGCGTCTGCTCAAAATTAAAAATAAGCTGAAAATCGGTTGTTTTTTTCAAATAAAGTGGGGAAGACTTCATATTTTGTGGGCGTTTTTAATAAAACAATTATCTCACTTGTGCTTGTTGGATATAAGATGATGAGAGCCAACTCATATCCAACGCGCACTCGTGGAGTAATTGTTAATTATTTACACATGTTTTGTTCACTGGTCATTTGTATCTAAGGCCTACTCTGGGACCTTAACTCGCTGCGAGATTGTGCGAGCTAATGCGAGTTTAAGCGAGTTAAGGCGAGATAAGGAAAAATTGAGCTTGCCTATTAGTTGCGAGTTTGTGCGAGTTAAGGCGAGTTAAGGCGAGTTAGGGGAAAATGATCCACCTTACGTTGAGGTTATAAGGGTTAAAACTTATAATATGCTTTAGTAATATACATATAAAGATGCCTTGCAATCTTTTGTATTTCTTATATATATTGTAGGCTCCATGTTGTCCAATTACGAAAAAATTAAACAAAAAATTTCAGATGAGCTCCAAAGTTGAATGAAGCCAAATCTTGTTTAAATTTATTAATTGAATTATTTTCCTAATTGGACACGCTTAAGTATGGATATGCTAGTGACATGGAGTCCTGTTCTTTATTAATGATATAGCATCTAGACACCAAACTATACCATTTGGTGGCTGTATCATAATAATAATCATCATCATCATCATCATCATCATATATTATTTCTTACAGCTATATAATTATTTGGCAGAATAATAAATTACCAGTAGTGAAGAAAAAAAATGAAAACAAAACAATCATGAATTGATAAAAAAAATGTAGCTGTAGTATAAGCACAGGTAGGATATTTTATTTTATTTTATTTACTTTTTTCAAATCAATAACACTATGTTTTAATAGGCAGGTGAGCATAATAGGTATCACACGACATGTCATCAATTATTGTTATCACTAACTCCAGAATTGAAAAAAAAATGTTTTTGCAGTCTGTGTCAATGTTCTTCAAAGAACTAGTATAAAAAACCGGGGAAGCTGACGAATTACAACTCAGCTGACGAAATTTTTATGACACTATCAATTTTACTGAAATGAAATGAAATTTCTTTCTTCTTGAAAATTATAAGACTTATCTTTAAGTCTTCCATTTGATCCATTCTCTCCACTTCCCTGATGGTTTCCCTTGGAATCCAGCTCAGTTGTTTGTTTTCACTGCCAGAAATGATTGCCTTTTTGTTTCCTCGGATAATCTATTTAAATTTCTTGCAAATGAAGGTTGGTGCCTTTTCGCAAAGACAGCAGTTCCCGTATTTTAGAAACTCCCTCCCTAAACTTGACAATCCTGTGAGAGACACCTTAATTTCTACAAAAGAAAGGAGGATCAAGTTAACTTGATAGTAAACTCTCTCAGCCTAGCAAAACAGCAAAAAATAAATGACCATATTTTCTGTTCAGGCTTACTTATTTTTTACAAAGTGTCAGAACGTGTTCATAGTTGTGCAGAGGACTATACCTACACTCTCCACTATCGGCTTTGTCTCTTAAGAGTTGTCACTGATGAATCTTTCCTGCTTCGCATTTTTACAAAATGATCACCGGCTCAGGCGTTCTGTGCGTGTTTTCATGTCACGTACGCCACATTGAAGCTTCCTACCTAAAACTTGCCAGTGGACTGGGATCAACAAGGCTTTGATAGAGTTAGTTAACGTTGCAAGGGTAAAAGGCTTTAGCTTAGCTTACCTGCATGTGATACATTTTGAAACTTCTAGATTTAACATTAAAAGTTTTGCTCGAGTTCTCCCCCTTTTCTTCAGAAGTTTTCCCGTCCATCTTGAAAATTACCCAGAATGCATATTGAGGACAATAGGCTGAGCGAGAGGGCTATCAATGCTGAAATTGTACCTTAAGCAATCCTTTATTCAGTTAAGGGCTAAATGTAACGAGTCTTTATGAATCATGCCTGGGTTATGGTTGCCAGTCTGACTACAATGTAGGCCATACAGGATGTCACGTTGAACCAATGTACAGATCTTCTAGTACGAGGTAAATATTTATAAGAAATATGGACTGCAATCAGTATGTGGTGTATTTAAAGGATTCTCGATTCTGGCTACATCCTAGCCTCTCATTGATGATTGCCAGCTAGAATCCTCATTAAGCTTCATCAGATTATAAGATGATACGTATGCTACTACTCTTCATACATGTATGTCATAAACATGCAGCTTGCATGCATTATATTTGCGAAGTAATTAAACTTTCCATTACAAGTAAACTTTTTTGTTAATCATTAACCAGCTTAAAACTAAAAATTTAATATTCTGGTATTATGTTTTTGTATTTCACTCTAAATTTGAGATTTGTTATTTTAAGCCAAAAATTAAAAACAAATCATAGGATAATATTTTTAACTTCAAATGAGAGATTCAAAGCAAGCTTGACTTTAGAGTGTTTCTTGTCTCACGTAGAAGTGTAAGACTAAAATTTAAACTATTTTATGAAAACTTTTTCGTGGATTCGCTGTTTGTGCTTTTAGTTAACGTCAGTCAACATGGGATTTGTAAGACCCTGTGACCCCATGCCTCTGGAATTTCTGCCATGGTTAGCATTGAAGCCTTTTCATTAGGCAACGAGTTAGTGCATGTTCAGGCTGTTCCTGGTAGTTCCATTGACAGTCCAGTTGTGACTCCAAGGCATGACAATGTTAAGTAAGAAAAACCTCATCAACTCTTTAGTGGTGAAATACCCTTACCACAGAGGCTATTAGAAATTCCAGACGGATGGGATTGGTCAATTACATATTTTTTAAAGGTAAAAACCCTGTTTTCCTTAAAAATCACTATCTTTTAAACTTTTAAAATTTGTATCCTTTGGGGTCTTCCCTTTATGGAGTAATAATATTGTGAAATTGCACTGAGAGTAGGATGAGATATTAAAATTGGTATCCACTTGGCAGTGGCGAGATTGGGCGAGTTTGTGCAAGATAATGCGAGTTTAGGCGAGTTAAGGCGAGATAAGGAAATTTGAACATAATCTCAAGTTGCGAGTTAGGGCGAGTTAAGGCGAGTTAAGGTCCCAGAGTAGGCCTTATCTATTCGAAGTCTCTTTTTACTTGTTATTATTTTACCAGGAGGCAATAGCTGCAGAGTCGTTCATTGAATCCACGCCCGTGTGTATCGAGAAAGGTGACCTGGAAAGAGGATTTGCTGACTCAGATCATGTGCTCCAGGGAGAGATGAGAATAGGAGGACAGGTTTGTCTTTTGCGGCTGAAAATAAAAATAGCGCTGTATCTTGTTAACGGAACTCAACGTGCCCAAGAGGAACCCCATGCGATACGTTTTGGTTGTCATGTGAGCTTCCTCTCGAGCGCCCGAATCCACCCCAGCTATCTAAGTCAATGTGAAACGTCACATTTACCCCTACTTAAGGAGGATAAGCTGTCGCTCATCTACAGCGTGTTATACGTCATCTATATCAATGTAAATTGACATCTGTCAAAGTAAGGTAGTAGGTAAGTTTATTAAACCTCGTTGCCGTAAAATTAATACTGAATTGGTGAGCTTAAAAATTTACAAGACTAATTACAAAATATACTATAAAAATACTATAAATTTACCTACAATCATGGACAAACGTCTTGGGACATTTCTGGGGCGTTTTCCAATTCATACAGGTCCAACCCCTCCCCTCACCCCACAAATAATGTTGGACGCATGTATCCAGAATTTTGCCGAGTTTCAACTTTGTATAGGGTGGGGGGAGGGAAAACTGCAAGAAAATTTCGAAAAGGATGCACTGTTTTAAAAGGGAACCAAGAAATGACACAAAAATATGGATATTGAAGTACTGTCCCAAGGACTTTTGTCCAGGATTGTCTGAATCCCGGTTTTGGTAAAAAAGTCTGTTTTCTTCATTTTTCCTGCCCTTTTGGGGCAGTTTGGAGACAAGTAGGTGATCACATGCAATAAGAATGACCTATGAAACTATTTTCTCATCATAGCAAGTTTTTACAAGGCAATTCCCTCATTTACAATAGGGACCTTTAGCATCAGGTTTTTCGTGGGAAACGGCAAACCGCAAACCGCAAAATGTCACGTGACCACGGCCTTGCGGTCACTTTTGCAGTTTGCAGTTCACGTTTGAACCGCAGGAAGGGCTTCCAGCGGTAAGTGATTTACGGGAAGGTTTTTTGCCACCAAAAATTGTACAGCCTCGCGTTTAAAGGTATGAACTAGCTTTTTGTATCCGTTTGCGATGTGTATGTTCGATTTTTGATCTCGAATCAATGAATTATTGCTGAATTTTGGGCGATTAAAGTGATGCACTTCGACTTGATGAAAGCAACATGGCGGCCCTGAACAATGAACGCGTAGTTCAAATCAATTTTATATTCCTTTCTGCCGTACTAACAAAGGAAAGTACTCTGTTCCAATCCAGGGTTAATTTTTTTTTCTGTCTTGTTTCTGAATTCATAACTTAACTCAGTCTCTGTTTGGTTCCTATTTTTAACGTATTGCTCCGCGAATATCATTTTATTTTGCTTATCTCTTTTAGACTGGGGAGCCCAGGCTTCATAAAGCCTTCTGGTTTCTTCTAGGCTCCCTTGCAACCTTACAATTCCTATATGTATCCTTGTATTGTATTGTATTGTATTTTGGCTAAATAAAAATGAACTGAACTGAACTGAACTGAACGCCTTGCTAAAGTTTGAAATCTCGGCAACGCGAAACTGCAAACGCGTAACTGCGGTTTGCGGTTTACCTGATGCTAAAGGTCTCTAATATCGAGCTTATTCCCTTAAACTGGAGCCGAGTACAGCGGTAGTTGGTCATGCACGATCTTTCGAGCATCGCGCACAGTACTCGGGCGCAAAAACACAGTGTATTATCAATATTCACTACAAATTAACTGAGAAACAGCTAAGGTATACTTCAACCACAAATTAATTGCATTTGAAATAATCTGCGTCAAAAAGGCCATCCTGTGAAGTGAATACAACAGTAATCACTTGATTCAGTAAGGAAAAATTATCTTGTTCTTCTTTCTCTCCATTTCAAAGTGTGTACTGTGACTAAAGAGCTGAAAATTGCGTTTTCGCTGTAAATTAAAGCGTCAAAGGATGTATCTAAAGATAAATTTTCTCTCGTCATTGCTGAGATGTTAAGATTCTATAGAACAAGACGCTGTGGGAGCGTATATTTGGGCGTGGTCGTACTACGCGTATGATACTTTTAGCATGTCTTGTTGTAGCTAAACAACTGTCATCATATCCCACCAGAGAAAATAAACCCTTTAATCTACTTCTTTGAAGAACCACACAGCTTATACAGTGTGTTCCAATCTACAACAAAAATCCTGTCACTTCATGACAATGTTTTGAAATGCACATCTTCAACACATTCTTGCTCTCAGCCAAATTGCAACATATGAAACCAGTGCTTACAGCCCTGATAGTAAGGTTTATCTCAGCTCCACTGATACTGACACTTTGAGGGAGATCGACCGGCAATATGTCTTTTCACACCCATCACATTGTATAGTGTATTCCGGTTATTAACAAGTACAGATAAAGTTCCTGAAGTCCAGTATCCACAAGGATTTATAACAGAGTAACACATTGCATAAACTGCTGAAGCGCAGCACTGTTTACAGGAACATTGTTAACTATTAACATTTGATATACTACAATATATATTCAACACTGCTTGAAAAAAGATCAACTTCGAAGTTGGCAAGATGTACACCTTTAAGCTCATAAAGAATCCTCATTCCTGTTTGGACTCTGAAAATATTGTACTAATTTATGCATGGATGCTATTTCCAATAATACACATGTCCTTTCACTATGACTGTTACCATACATATCTCTAGCATGAGAATGAAATACTTTATATCACCGACCCTCAATGCTTTAGATACCAACTCCAATAATTCCCACCGTTACATTGAACGAGTTCTAGTTCAAAGCCAAGAGTGTTTCAAATGCTGTACCCTGTGGCATATACAGTAGTGATACCCCTTAATTCTGGCATCACCATGCATGTTACAAGTATAACTTTCACTGTATTCAAGCTGGAAAAATTGTTCAAACTCCGTAACCTTTCCTGGCAATTCTGTTAACATTAACAAAGATTGTCTTTTAAGCGGTGACAGACTAGAATATAATTGATTACAACAATCATTGCTTGAATCATATCATCAACTCAAGTAATCCTTCTTATCTTACTGTAAATTAAAGCGCACAGACTCATTGCAACACATTGTTGTCCAGCATTTTGGGTGTTACGAAAAGTCAGATCTCGAAAACACAGACCTCAAACCCCGAAAAACTCAGACCCCCCCAAAAACTCAGACCCCTGGGTGTCTCGAAAGGACAGACCCTCAATTCAATATTTTTGAGATATCGATATCATTGAGTACCTTTACCTTTTGACTAACTATATATCAGAGAGCGAAAAGGGGGGTTGCATGATACTTGCGCCATGTCACGATATAGTTCATACCATTGAAATGAACAAACAAGTCAGCTGTTCTCAAATATCGATGATCAGGGATGACATCACAGAGTAATTCGGGTTGACTATGACACTACCCCTTCCTTCAGGGAATGACTGTGCATTTTAAAACCGCCGCGAGTTTTTCTGTTTGTTGGATAACGTACGAAGCAGCCTCAGCTGTTTCCGCTCGCTATTCAACTTCAAGGGAGTGGGAACTGGAATGAAAAATCGCGCCCGAGCCTCAATTATTCGTGTGCATCTTTGTCGCGCGAGCTGTCTCTTTGTTTCGTTTGCTTCTCTGTTTTTCTTTGCTCTTCGTCGTGCTTCGCTTGTCACGGCCTAAAACAGCACAAAGGATCTAAAACATCAGATTCCAGCGTATGGTATTTCTGACAGTGCAGTATTACGGAGCAGACAGAAACAGCTATTTTGCCGGCACGGACCAGAGACTGGACCGGTTAGGAGGAATTTTGGGTAGCTTTTTGAGAGATGTTTAGTTGTACGTAACAAGTTTGAATCAGTCTAGGTCAGCATTCATTCGACCTCCTAACTTTTATTTTGTTTGCTATATTTCAAGTGTTATATTTGTTTGTAGGCTTTTGACAGCTAGTATTTGCTAACCTCTGCCCCCGAGTTGTTGGCACCGCAGCTGATTTCAGCGGGTGGGGGCGTATGTTCCCTTTTTTCCTTGAAGTTTTCATATCCGGCGGTGTCGTACTTAATTTTTCTTTTTTGAGGTTTGTGTTTTTCATTGGGAGTTTTGTAATTAAGTGCGGTCTTGTAATCTTAATAAACTGGCTTTGAGGTCCTTGCTGACCTACAGGCCCCTGTATTTATTCTTGTGTGGGCGTCTTTTTGGGTAGTGTAGGCAAAATGGTTTATTTTCGTTGATTTGTCAACTCTTTGACGAGAACAGGTTTAACAATTACCAACATACCTGACCTCTTAATTTGAAAACTGCGGCAAACGTAACAACCCGTCAGCAAAATTTGGTTTTGTCGAAATTTTGCCAGTGCGAATTTTCGCTCAGGTGATATTTCTACAAAACCATTCGCTTCTGTGGATGCGAAAGAGAGAGAGGTTGCTTGCGGACTATAGTTAGCTGTAATATTTGAAAAATATTGAGGGTATGAGTTTTCGCGACACCCATGGGTCTGAGTTTTTCGGGGTCTGTGTTTTCGAGACACCCAGGGGGTCTGAGTTTTTTGGGGTCTGAGGTCTGTGTTTTTGAGGTCTGAGTTTTCGTAACACCCCCAGCAGTTTCCACAAATAATGCAACGTTTCCTTGACAGTATGGAACATGAATTGTTTTTGTCGCATCTACATAAACTGAAGGTCCTGGATTCTTCTCGATGTCAGTACAAAATTAACCCGGTGATTCATACTCTTGTTAGCACTGTAAAATGGCAAATACTTACTTAAAACCCTATTTGGATATCTCATCCCACCTAAATCGCCTGTCCTTTGATGCTTAGACGACAGATACACCTTCTCTCGTTGACGGACTAATTTTGGAGTTACCCTATAGGTATAAACCTCACACTGTTACAGTAATTTACTTCTGTATCTGTACAAGTCTAAACCATTTGTATTTTTAACGTAACAATGAAATTTTATACGACAATTCATTGTGTATTTTGCCCAATACCCTACCCGAATACCCTGCCAAAAACTCTCACTTTTCGTGTTTTCTGTAACAAGAGATTTTAATTTCTTCATCGGTAGTCTGCTAGGTGCACGACCGCGTCGAGAGAATTGACTAACCTTTATATTCAAACCAACGGAATTGTAAGTTCTGTTATATATAAATTTCCCACGACGAGATCTCAATTTAACTTCTTTTATTTCCTCTACAACACAATTTTGCTTCTGTGCAATTGAGTCATTACCTTTTCCTGTCACTTCACTGCCATCAAAACACTCCAATTGCTGATGATGCAAAATCCCGACGCCGAGCATCGTACATGAACCACGTTACAAAAAAAAATTACATGAAAAAACACAACGGGCAATACAAAAACAATACAGTCACTCTGCCAAATAAAATTGAAAGCATAAGAAGAATTGTTACCGCTTTCATAGCACTTACAAAAGAAGCGTGACTCCCTTTTGGTTTCAGTTGTTGACAATCGTCTCGTCCTTCAATCAGGCAGTTTCTTATCTTCCGCATTGTGAATATCCAAATCACTGTTGTCAAATTGATTACCAGCTATACAAATCTTCCGACTCTCAAACTTGATACACATTCCTCTCTTCAAACCCTTGTCCATTTCACACGTACACTCCTGATATTGCGATTTGTCATTGCGTCTGTGGGTATTTGATGTCATTGAATGTCTTGACAATTTCGTTTGTTTTTCTTTGAGTTCGCCGACCAGCCCATTCGGAAAACGCTCAGTGTCATTTTTTAGAACAGTGTGTGCATTTGTAAGTTTAAGGCACGATAACATACTTCAACAATATATTGACACGTTTCTCGAATCAGCGTCGCCAAATTTTATTCAAACTCCGCTGTAAATATTACCAACACTTTCAAACAAAAAATGATCCGGTACAATTCTCGTGAAATCAGCGACAAACTGTTTTGCCACGAGCCAGGCGTATTATGAAACAACCGCTTTTTTCTTACATCACAATTGCATTAGCTCCTGTCGAATTTTTGTGTATACAAATGACAGGAACGGCTATTTACGTCGCTTAATATTTTTTCACGGCCGTTTTATCTTTTGGGAAACGTTGTTATTTTCTCTGCAAAGCCTACTGGATTTTTTTTTACATTCGTGCTCATATTGAGTATTGGCGACTGTAATGTTGACATCTCTGAGCAACTTTTGTACCAGGTAAAAGACCTCGTCCACGACTCTAGCTCTTTGGCCTGCCGAAATTCTTACTGTGTACACCCAAGAGAGGATAAAGGGGACAGAGAAGGCATCCCCCATACACACCCTATTCCAGACGTAATTCGTTTCGAGTTATTTTTAAGACCATAGATCCCAAGGGGGATTAGACAACAGCCAATCACATAGCGCGAATGTGTTCCGCGTAGATGACCCACGCTCAGAGCCACGCGTCCTTCACGAAGACGCAGAAAAAAATGGCGGAAGACGCGGAGAGCGAAATTGCTATTTGTTTTGTCGACGAAAACAACTAAAGAGAGATTTCTGCTAAAGCTGTGTCAGCGAGACGGAATTTAAAAAAGAATCGCCCTTCCTATCCTGTATAGAGCTAACAGTCGAGCAGGGAAATCCTTAACATACTAAATATTCTCTCACGATCATTTATAATTTACAGTTTGAAGAGAGCAATTTCTGGTTTGATATATATTCTTTTATTAGTCTTTTATTATTCAACAAAAATAACACTTGGCGTCCTACTTGTTTTATTATACAAATGACCGGTTTCAATAGACCGGCAAAATTTCTCATTTTATTAAAGCACTGAGGTTACGACAACTTGGAGTTAAAATGATTTCACGGGTTGTCAAAGAGCGCAGCGATTCCCTTTTCCCAGATGAGCGCCGACTCACTTCGCTTTAATATTCAGAAATGATCTCGATCTCTTTACGCTTTCATTGCCTTTCGCCCGACATGTTTTGCACGGCGTTTAGTCATGCGAAACCTCCGCGAAACATCCACGCAGCGCGCGAGGTAACTTTATCCCGATTCTAAAAATAACTCGAGACGAATTACCTATGGAATAGGATGTGTATGGGGGATTCCTTCTCTGTCCCTTTTATCCTCTCTTGGTACACCAGAATGTTAGTAACTCGTTGCTTCCCTTAACCGCTTTCGGACGTGAGTTTTGTTTAAAAGTTACGTTATAGGAATAAAGCACGCGCTATGAGATACCACAATTTCTGGTGTATATCATTCGTTTCCAACGAATTCTTCAAACACTTTCAGAAAACTCCGAAAAGCTGGGAAAAGGTTTGTTCAATTACGGTCGTTCATCAGAAGCCCAAAAAAACACTTTTACAGATTTGAAAACCCCGCAAAATTGCCTTTTTTCTTCCTCGTCCTTTTCAGACAATCATGAACAAAAGTCTTGGGACACTTTTGCATTTCCGGGGCGTTTCTCAATTCATACAGGTCCAACCCCTCCCCTCCCCCCACAAACAATGTTAGACGCGTGTATCCAGAATTCCCCCCCCCCCTAGGGTGGGGGGAGGGAGAACTGCAAGAAAATTCGAAGTAAGAGGGATCCGAGAAATGACAGAAAAATATGAATAATGCAGTGCTGTCCCAAGGACTTTTGTCCAGGATTGTAGATATTTACAAATATGATCATTAATGATAATATTACTTGTAAGAGTTTACGTAAAATATCTAAAGGTAAAAAATGAATCTGCTCTCTTGGTCCTACAAGAAATCGAGCCGTTAAAAAGAAGAAATTTCTCGGAATTTTTTCTGAGCTTGTAATTACAAGTACCTGAAACAGGCCTAGGTAACAATTTAAATAAGGGATGGTCTCTAGATTTCATCTTTTGCATATATTTATAGTATAAGTCTTCTCCTCTCTCTAGCCTGCGTGACAGGCGTTCGAAAGGGAAGGGGAAGGGAATTAGAGCGTGAGACCAAGGAGGAGGGAGGAGGGGAACGCCTGCAAGGAAGCCATTGTTTTCGCCATCCTCCTACTAATTAAAAAAAATAACGTAACAGTGAATGACTAGCTGTCAAATAAGTCTGGCCGCGATGCACGTCGTATTTCTCGCACTGTTTTTCGTTTTTTTCCTAAAACAGGAAATCTAAAGTAAAGGTACTATAAAAAAAGTTCAAACGCGGTCGTCCATTGAAGGAATCTTCCTTGAAAGTTGCAACGACGCGTGCCGAGTTACATAAAATCCAGCATAAATCTATTCAAGTTGTTGCTGAAGGAATCGGGCTGGAAAACTCTTTTTAAAAAATGTAGCGGCTCTTCGCAACGTTCAATGCAATGTTTGTCTAAGAAAAATTAAAACACTTTGCCGTCACGCACTCTTTGAATTTCTATCAGGACGAATTGGATCCAGCGGAGCACACAAAAGAACGCTGGTGGCGGGGAAAGAAGAGCTGAACTTCGAAGATCTGCAAGAAGGCAACAATTTATTATTAAAGTAAGTTCCTGGCGGTTTTATAATCGGCAAGAAGAAGTCCTCAACCAAAAATTGCCAAAAGTTAAAGATCGCTTCGTCTTCAATTATCTTGCCGTTGATAACGCGGGTCAAACAGCAGATAACAAGCACACAGGCAGCATGGTTTTTCCTTTCTTTCTTCTGGCGAGTAGAACCAACAAGCCG